GAATACATTTGTTACCACAAATCTTGACTGTCTTCATGTTTTAGATGGGAGACAGACTCTGATTACTGTGCTACTGTGAAAAAGACCCCACCATACGACAAAGGCACAAGACTGGTGGACTTCATGGATATGGTCATATTGGACTTCTTGATGAGTATGTTAATTATAAGCATGTTACAACTGAGGGCATTTGCCTTTATGAGTGTACTTTCTGGTAAAAATTGAGTTGTGTTGTCATCTGGACACAAGTTTAAATAGTTTGACRAAATAGAAAAAAATGGGTTTGCGTTGTTCAAAATTTCCTTTAGAACATAGAAAAACTGGTAACATTTTATTTGAAGGTGTATGCATAAGACTGTCATAATGCTGTCATAAAAATGATATAACACCTGTCATGAACGCAAATGAGTCCTCATGAATGTTTATGACTGTTGTCATTAAGTATCATTTGGGAAATTATGACACTTTTAATGCAAAGTTGACATTGTTTAAAATGTCTTTGTTATGACAACTTGACATTAACTAAGATAAAAAAAAAGTCTTGACAAGTTAAAGTATTTGTAAGCGTTTGTCAGTGTAATGACGCTTAATGACATCTTTATAACTAGTCCAACTTGTTCCACTTTACTTGTGGTAAGGGAAAATATTAATGAAATATTTGGACTCATGACAGCCAAAGTTAAGACTAACAACAAATGACAGTGTAATAAAATTTTAAAGTTGATACTCAATAGCTTTTATAACAGGTTATGATTTCTTGGTTAATGTCAAGTTGTCATAACAAAGACATTTTAAACAATGTCAACTTTGCATTAAAATAGTCTTAATATACCTAATGACACTTAATGACAACAGTCAAAGATTTACGAGGACTCATTTAAGTTCATGACAGGTGTTATGTCATATTTATGACAGTGTCATGACAGTCTTATGCACACCCCTTCAAATAAAGTGATACAGAAAAACTGCAAAATTCAAATGATTTTATACTAATCTGCATCTGCCCTCTTTTTTTGTGTGGTTTAAGCAGTTGTAAAACTTTGCAGAAAGATATGTAACAAATACCAGCAGATTGGCAAAGCTCAAAAACATGTTTTTGTATATTTTTGCGTCCTAATCTCTCACCCTCATATTAATTCATTGCCTGTTTGATCATACGTGTTCTCTGGCATCCTTATTTCACCCTCTGGACGCCTGCTTTATGGTCTGCGAGTTTGAGCTTCTCTTTTTGATTTATTTAGTAAGCCTAAATTTAGAGCAGCGGTTCCCAACCCTGGTCCTGCAAGAACACTGTCCTGCATTCTTCAGAGTGTCCAGAAGCTTGTTAATCACTCATAAGACAAATCAGGTGTGTCGAAGCACCATGCAGGCTGGAAACCTCTGCTTTAGAGAAACAACAAACGAGGAGGAAAATGCTCGTTCTATGCTCAGCTGTAAGTTTCATAAAGTAAGGAAAAGAACAAAAAAAAAAAAGGCAAAGGAGGTGTTGTCAGACCCCCGACAGAAAAGAACTGCACGCATCACCGTGGTGAGGCGCTACCTTGGTTTCGCACACAACTTGCACGCGTTCATGTGTTCAGGTAAGAAAATCAATGAAGTCATTTAATTTATATTGTATGTGCCATGTTAAAGTACTTTCCTTAGAGTTGTTTACTCCATGGCTGTCTTAACTTAAAAAGATGCTTCCATTATTTACATTTACATGTTTTTAATTCTATTTACAGGTTAGACATCGTTAGTGTTGGACAAACTTTTCACAAGTTGGCACAATTTGTTTAAAATATTGTAGTGTGACAGGGCCTTTTATATTTTAAATTAATTAATAGTCTTCATATTTTGAAAACAGAATTTTATATAACGTATATACAGTCTGTTTCACAAAGACCACAGTCTATAAGGTGCACTTACTGAATGGATATGAAGAACACCTTTTTCATTTGCTTGCTTTGTTTTTCACAGTATTGTCATTCCACTGTTTACTTTCGGTGTATTTTTTTTTCAGGGCAACAACTGTGTCTCATTGAGGAGCAGATCCTGGAGCAGCTGGTCGAGCAAGTAAGGGTGAACTCAGAAAGCTTCATATCCGATTTGGTGAAGACATCAAACAAGCTCAAGACAGAACCACAAGAAGTGCATGACTTCTCAGTATATGCTTTGAGGGCATGGAAACTGAAAATACATTCAAAAMATGTAAAGCACCATTTTGAAGACAAACTGATATCAATCCAAAAAAGAAAAAAGGGACAACAAAAAAGGGGGTTTGTTCTGGAGTTGAGAGAAAGGTTGATGGAAATGCCAGGCTTTTATGGCTGCTTTTTAGTCACGTATTCAAGTACACTGAATTATTTATGTCGAAGACAATGCCATGCAAGAGAAAATATATGGTGTACTTTGATTTCATGATGCAAGTATCAGGTACTGCTTCCTGCAATRAAGTTCACAATATTACTTTTAAAAGGAACACTATTTCAGTAAGTTTTATCTTTCCAGATTAGTGCAATAATGACTACTTTATTAGAATTTTAAAGGTTGCTTGGAAAGGTCAGTTCTCAAATGTGTTTAGGACATGTTGTCTTCAAGCAGTGTACTTGTRTCATTTTTAAACATCAACATCTGAACATGAATTAGTTTAGCTTTTAGTATTTTTGTAGTGTTAAGATAGTGTTTTTTTTCTTTCACCTATAAAACCTAATTGTTAATACTGACAATTGAAAAACAAAATTTCTGGTTGTCTTTCCCACGCAGGTGAAGGAGTCAGTAAAAAAATGTTGCCTATCATGCAAAAACGTTTGGAATACATTCTTTCCCTCTACGACACCATTTGCATAAACTAYAGGAAAATGACTGAGCAGGAGCTGACATTAAAGAAAAAGGTTTGCTGGCATCAGTGTGAAAATTAAGCCACAAATAATCGTTTTATAGTTGTGCTTTTTATTTATGCGCATAACTTTTAAGCAGTGCAGCTGTTTGATCAAATCTCAGATATGACTTGTTTCACTGCAGYAGATGCACTTGTGTTTGTGTTCTATAATTAGATGCTAGAGTTGTGGGATTATTTTATTTACATGTTAAAGCAAGCAGAAAGCTGTGTGTRCCACAGTCTTCCTTCAATGATTATTGCATTGGACACAATGGTTTCARTTTTGACCTTGGACTTTAAAAATATCATCCTTGAGGCTACATCTGGATTTTTCCTTGACCCGAGTCAGAATGCCCAAGAAAAGGTCTCCAAGCTATGTTACATGTGTGCGCAGAGTCTCAGTACAAAGCTGGAAGAACTTCACAAGAGCAGTCAGAACATACGATGTGAGGCAGTATGAAAAATTTTAAATGTTAAAGGAATTATAGGAAAAATAAAACAATAAAAAAATTGTAAAATTAGTCCATACACACGATGGCATCTAATTTCAGAAACTCTGTTTTTTTTTTCTTTAGAACGTCCACTGGATTTAGCCATTTTGACAACAGACGTTATAAAGATTACGGCTCCTAAGGAGTTGTGGCAACTAAAAGCTGCATTTGTGGCATGGTTGGAAGAGTGCAGCTATAAGCCAGTGAGGTAACTTGTTAGATTGTTTCGTTTTATGTTTAATGGCAAGAATAAGATTATTTTGGACATAGCAGTATTGATCTTGTGTGTCACATATTGCTGTTGTTTTGTTGAGAACAAAAACATTTGATACAAACCTATAAAGCATGCATACACATAAATACTGTAGGTAACATGCTTAATTTTATGTTGCTCTGTAGATGTACAGTATTGTAAGATAAAAAGTTTTGGTTTTTACACCATGAGTTATTGGTGTTCTCTCTTACTGTCATGTTAAATGTTGCCTCGGTAGAAATACAAATGTCTTTATATTAATTTTACTCTACGGTAATCTGCAGCTTTGTCTCTGTTGTCAGGTTATGGTTTCACAAGCACAGAAGAACATTGCCAAGTGGAAGGAGCAAACCCACAATTTGAGAAATATTATACCTACCAATGATACAGTTCTGGAGGAGACTTCAGGAGTCCTGGATAATTTCAGTCTTCAGGTTAAAGTGATGGCAATGCTAACTAGCAATACACTAAAAGAAAATCACTGGAAAGCTATTTTCCAAGGTATGAGGTGTTGCTAATACTGTATTTTTATGCAAGCATATTGTGATGGTCCCTGGCATATCTAATTTGATAGTATTTTTTTCTGCAGCTTAATGTTTGTTGCCAACTCGTCAAGCTCTTATGCAGAGTATTATTTATAGTAATTTGTATTGCTAAAGACACCCCAAACACCAGAGACAAGTTTATTAACTTTGCAAACAAAAACAAAACAAAAAAAWTATAATTTTCGTTTCTAATTTAAATAAAATTGCTTCTGTTTTACAGGGTTGGGCCTGTTGTATGTGTCTGGGAAGACATTAACTGCGGTTGAAGTCATGTCTCAGCTATCTGAAAATCACCAAAAATGAATCAACAAGGTGAGCGGGAAGCACAGATTTTATATTCAGAACAAGCTGGGACTGTGGAAACAATGAAACAAATACTTTGTTGAAATCTTCCCTTGTGGAAACAGACTCAGTAGTCACATTGCATGAAAGACTTGAATTGCTTTTTTAAATCATGTCAGATATGCAGGGATGCACAGAGTGGAATGCAGAGCAGAGCTTTCAAAAGCTTTCTCTGGGATGGAAGGACAGATTCTTTCAGATGAATGAATTGATTCTTCCTGTTTGGGTGGATTATTAAAGGAAAACAAACCCAGAGAAGGCATCCTTTCAAATATTCAAACAGCTAGTCCATGCTCCTGTAATGATACTAGATTCATCATTATCGGTGAGACCAAATAGAATTAAATATTTTATTAATATAGATGTAGCCATTAATGTCACTGTTATGACTTTGGCTCCTCTGATTGTGGAAAGTAACAGCAATCTTTTGCCTAAAAGTTGTTTAAATTTCATTTATGGTTTTATTTACTTCTTAGAAGCACTCTTTGCTGAAATAGATGATCTGACAACTCTATCCATCATGCTGAAGTCCCCAATCAGTGCTGAATTCAGGCTGCAGCTGGATGATTGGGTTCTGACACTGCAAGAGCTGGGTAAAGAATAAATTAAACAAATACTGTATCATAATATATTCAGTATTTGTTTTGAAGTTATGACCTTTTA